TCTTTGGTTCATGTCTTGTGTCATGGGCTACCAAAAATCAAAATTCAATGGCCTTATCTACTGCTGAAGCGGAGTATGTTGATGCTGCTTCATGCTGTGCTCAATTGCTGTGGATCAAAAAACCATTATTGAACTTTGGAATTGATGTTGGTTATTTTTGTGATAACACTAGTGCTATTAGTATGACAAAGAACTCGGTTTATCATAAGAGAACTAAGCACATAAATGTTAGGCACCATTTTTTGAGGCACAACTATGAGAAAGGCTTGATCTCTGTGGAGTTTTGTGCTACTGACAAGAAAATTGATAACATCTTCACAAAAGCCTTAAGTAGAGATCACTTTGAGAGGAACAGGTTGGAAATAGGGATGATTAAGATCACCTAAAAGGACCAGTTCAAGGTTAAACGAAAAAAATAAAAAAAAAAGTGAAAAAAAAATTTGGTTAGAAAGTCTGTGAATTGTGTATAAGATTAAATCTTGCTCAGTCTCATACTTTCCATAGTATACTCTTGTGCCATGTTTTAAAATGACTAATTAATCTCTAATGATATTTTCTCTATTTTGGCAAATTTAGACTCACACAAGAGAGTTATCAGTGAAGAACCTGGTTCACCAAGATAACACGACATATTTTCTACACTCTGCATAATTTGAAATAACTATATTTGGATTATGAGCAGAGTCCTACCAAATACCATACTCTTTTTGGACTTATCCGTTACAAGTGAACCAGTGAGTCCCAACTGAATGGAAGTACCTAGATTCTAGGCATACACTCCAACGTCTCTTCAAAACCGAATTTCAGTTTGATTAAACTTCTAAGAGTCTGAAAAGCTGTAGTTACCTCATCAACTATTCCCATGTATATTGATCAGCTTTAGTGTATTCCTTACTTCATCTCTCTCAAGCCGTCAAAAACTCTCATTCTTCTTTCATCTTCCAAACACAATCTAGTTCTCTTCTCTTCTATAACCTAGCCCAGATATGTCGAACACCTCTGAAAATCCTTCATCACCACCACAGGAAACCACTTCCACACCTTCTACAACACCAGTCTCTAAGAAAAATAGATTAAAGATGATGGCTCGTAATATTGTCGCTAAAGGAGAACAGATCAAGAAAATAAATAACCAATTGAAAGCAGGTAAGGAAGAAGAATCCCAAAAATCTGAAGATTCATTTAAGTCTGCTACTAAGGGGGAAGAAAGTAGGTATTCCGAAACTAAAAATGTATCTTCTGATTCTAAAGTTACTCCTGAGACAATTTCTGAAGTTGCTGCAAATTTAAAGAATAGATTTGTACTTGTAGGATCTATAGTAGATGTTGAGACTACATAATCTGGAAAATTTGGTGGTAAAAATTAAAAGGAAAAGAAAAGGAGAGCAAGGGTGCTAGGAGTACTGTGAGGGGAAAGGGTACAAGAGTGGCTGATTCTTCACCCACTCCTGTTGGTCTAACAAAAGAAACTGAGGCAATGGTTGTTTGGGGAGAGAAATTTACTGAAATAGAAGAGAGTGTGAGCAAAACAAAGGGAAGTGCATCTGGCGAAGCTGCTGAGGGGTTAGTTCAACTTGGAAAAAATATAGATGAACCTGTTCCATCTGAACAGGAAATCCTCGCGGACCTACTGATAGGGTTATCAATGGAATCAAAACTCATGCCATTCCCTATGGTTTCATTCTCATTACTGTGCTTGCACATTTCAAGGTACCTATGAAGAAGTGGGAGGTTAGTACAAGCAAGGATCATTTTGGGATTAATACTCTGCTTGCTTGCGATTATGAAGTCAATGTCATTCCTAATGAACCTAGTTCATCCAAAAAGGTACCAGTGAATAGCAAGGTCAGAGCCTTGGTGCAAGAAAGTGAGTCTAAGGATGCTGAGATTGAAAGACTGAAGAAGAGGTTGGTTGAGGTGGAGACCAAGAGAGATGCTCTCATAACTGAGCTGGCAAGAGAAAAAGAGAAGAATGATGGCATTCTTCAAGATATGCTGAAACTCCTCTAAGTCAAAAACCAAGCACCTAGTTCTTCCCAGCCTTAAGCCTCCTAGCCTAGCGTAGATCAACCCGTGACTCAGTTTGGGACGTTTTGTTTATTTTGCTCATGTTTTCAATATTTTTATTTCTTCTTATGCTTTGTGGTAGAATCTTATCAATCATCAATGAAATTCACTATCTTTTGCTCTAACTGTTTGTTTATATTTCTTTGATGGTTAAAATTTTTAGCTCGATCTATGATGATTAATTCATGATTGCATTTGAAGTAGCCCCAGTGGCCATGAGTAAGTTTTAAAATCTGGTTATCTCACATTTTATGCAACTTTTCAATGATTCCAAAAGGGGGAAGAGATATTGTGCTTTATATAATCTAAATAAGTGATGTTTATAACCTAATGAACCTGGTCCTTGATGATAAGTGATAAAAAGGGAAAATGTTTCTAACATTGTTTTGATGTTGAGCTAAGTTGAAACAGGGCCTAAGCTTATGAAAAGCACATAGTTTGTCATCATCAAAAATGCGGAATTTATTGTCCCAAGTGAAGGTTAGTTTTGAAGATTGATAAAGGAAGCTCAGGCATGAACCAGGTCCATCCCTCAGGTGCACAAAAACGGGCAGATTCGAGCATGTGGGATGCACGTGAAGGAGATAAGCTTAACTTGGTGTATCTAATATTTCGTGATCGAAAAGGTTGCATAATTGATAAGGAGAAGGACTCCTTACTCAAAGAGAACATTATCCAAGATAGGGAAGCTGTTAGAAGTTGAGATCAACTAGAACTCTTCCACCAAGGAAGAGTTGCATCAGAACTCTAGTTATTTCTTCATCTACTAACTCTATAAATTGCAGGATGTTCTCACATTACATGTGTTACACAAAAACGCAGAAGTTAAACGTGAATTGAGAGCAAAAATAGCAAGGCTTTTGCAAGCAGTTCGTGTGTGATTCAAGTGTGCAAACCTGAACCTACATGAACCAGATTGAAGAACCAGCTCCATAAAGAGTTTTATGTATCTTTCTTTATTTCTAATTCAATTATAGTAGGTGTTTTATATTGTACCTTTCAGCTTTATCTAGAGGGGAAAATGCATAAGGACCCCCTGACCTATACTCGGATTCCCAACTACACACTTTTTCTTTGCGGGAATCCTAATTACCCCTAAATTTATTTTAAATGTAATTATTTGCACCCTTAACGCTGACAACCAAACTCTTGGCAAGTGGTGAGCTACATGCGCTCCCACATGTATTTTTAGTACTTTTTTTAATTCTTTCTTCTTTTTCTTATCCTTTTTTCTTATTTCTTATTATTCTCATTTGTTTTTTGGTTATTTCATTCTTTTTCTTTTTGTTTTGGTCAACGGCGGCATAAAATGGTGGTCGTACGGAATTTCACAAACACCAATTTTTCCGGCGAATTTTTTTTTTTCCGCGACAGATTTTTATTCCTCGATCTAAGTGTGCTCTGTTTTATATATATATATATATATATATATATATTATATATATATATATATATATATAAGTGTAATTTATGTGTGGGAGGAAGAGCAAAAGAAATAAAAACGAATATAAGCTAAGAAAACTTTTTCCAGTTAAAATTTCAATACATCATTTTTTTCCCGGCGTGGGAAGGTTTTTCGATGATGAAGTTTTCCCCCAAATCTGAGTGTATTTTGCTTTGCTTATGAATAGATCTTTTTGAGAGTTTAATTTGTGTGTGAAAAGAAAAAATGGAAGAAAAATGGTTAGATAAAGTCGCCGTTGAATGAATATCCGCCGGAATTAGAGAAGAAACGAAAAAAAAAGTAAAAGAAAAAAGACAAAGAAAAAGGAAAAGGAAGAGGAAAAAAAGTAAGAAAAAATGGTAAAAAGAAAAAAACTAGTTTGAAAATCGTTTTTTCCTTCTTCTCACTCTCCTTTGGGAGAGTGAAATACACACACTCTGCCACGTCAGTGTTAAGGGTGAAAATAATTCTATTTAAAATAAGTTTAGGGGGTAATAGGATTCCCGTGAAGAAAAAGTGTGTAGTTGGGAATCCGGGTATAGGTCAGGGGGGTACTTGTGCATTTTCCCTTATCTAGAGGCAATTGTAATAGGTACTCAGAGTATTCAAGTTAGAGTTAACTTGAAGTTGCCGCAACAGTTAGAGGTTGTGTGCTACAACGAGATTAGAGGTAATCCTTAGATTTACAAAGAGTTTCGTAAATGCTGTTTTGGCTCAGTGATTTAGTGAAGTGTTGGGGAAATCATACTGAGTAGTAGGTCATGGTTTTTTTCACCTTTTGAGCCGGGTGTTTTCCACGTAAAAATACTTGTGTTCTTTACTTTCTACATTTATTATTCCGCAACAGTAGCATAAGGAACACATAGAAGAACCAGGTCCTTCCATAATCAGTTTAAGCGAAAAATTGGTCACCACACAAATCATCCCCTTCCCCCCTTGTGTGGTATTGAAGTATAAAACATCACAAAGGATAAATATAAATATTTGATAGGATTCGATTCATTTTAGTTATGAACAAAACTAACTAACATTTTTTCCTTTCTTTCGAAAATATATAGTCCTTTTCGTAAAAATTCGGCAACAACGACGAAAAACATTATAATACGGGAATATCACCTTTTGAACCGAAATCGTGATTGGAGAATTAAAATTTTGGTCTTTATTTTTGTCATGGTAGTTTCTATTACATATGAAAGAATAAAATAATAAATCAAAATAAGGAATATCACGAGAGGGGAAAAAAGGAGTAATAAAATACCGAGTGTGTTTTACCTTCCAGAAAAAATCTGGTTATAACATTTTAAGGAGATATTTATTCCACTTTTTTTTTTAGAATAGTTCAGAAGGATAATAGGAACCTCATAAAGGAAAAGTGTGTCGTTGGAACTTTGATAATAGGTACTTATGTCTTATATTTTAGAGAAAAGTGTAGATTTGGAGACGCCAATATAAAATAAATGGAAAATGAATTTAAAGGGAGATAAAAGCATAGGAAATATATATCACACACGTTCTATGCTTCTTTTATTTAATTGATGAACACATTACACACACATGCTATATTTGATCAGATCAACAACGGCAAATTTTTTATTTTTTTTCTTAACCTGCAGAGGTTTTGATCAGTCCATCATACTTTTTTTCTTGAACGACACTTTCGTCACTTGTTATTTATCTTATAAGTGACTAAAAGTTGAAAACAAGAGTACAGACAATTTCGAAGACAAAAGAGACACAAAAACAACACAACAACAACAATTACAAGAACAGCACTGGATTGCTAGCGACTACTTATTTATTAGAGACGCAGGATTATGTTACTCTGTTAATACGAGGTAACACGATGTATAAAGTCTGCAACTTGTCCGGTGCTCTGGAAGGTCGGAAGGAGAAGTAATACCGAAATCATATGCCCATAATAGCATCACCAACAAGTGGCCCACAGGCCTTTCCAAAATTATAACATTCACTACAGAGCCAACCCTCAGAGCAATCGTCCCTGGTATTACAAGGTTTCCCACAAGTTGCATCATATCGTTCTTGAAATAGTTTCGTCGCAATTGGTAATACATCTTTAGGTAGATCTCTTAGGGCCATCACATGAATTTTCGTGGAGCAAGCTGCAAATCATAATCAAAATTCAAAATTGAATTTCGTAAAAATAATAGTCCCTCTGTCGCATTTTATATGATGCACTTTGACTGAACACGAAGTTTAAGAAAGAAATTTTTTTTAAAATTTGTGATGTATAAAATAAATCATACGTAATTATTTGTATGAATATAAAATTATCTCATTAAGGGTAAAGCAAAAAAATTAAAGTTAAATTATTCACATAAAATTAGGACGGAGGATGAAATGACCTACCAGCAATAACCACAAGGAGTGTGGTGAAAATGATAGCGAGTTTATATGAGAAACCCTTTTCAGCCATTGTAATACTGAAGTTAAACTTCAAGGTTGAGAGACTTACAGTACAATATAGACGCGTTTCCTTCCTTTTACGAAAGTCGTATTTATAAACCTCTATTTTAGTCTATCTTTGACAATCAAAATGTCTCACAACCACGCAAGTTTCATATACTCCCTCTCCCGTTCACTTTTACCTGGCATGTATACTAAAAATAGATTTTCATTTTTACTTGTCACTTTACGCATATCAAGAGAAGACAAACTTTTTTTTCCTGTTATACCCACAATATTTATTACTCATTTCAAATCATTTTCTCAAATTCAATAAAATATGCATCAATTAATGTGGGTATCATGGTAAATTATGCACTTCATTTATTATTTCTTAAGAGGCGTGAAAAGTCAAAACGTGCCAAATAAAAATCAACGGAGGGAGTATATATGAAACTTGCGTGGTTGTGAGACATTTTGATTGTCATAGATAGATTAAAATAGCCAAGAATATATATATATATATATATATATATATATATATAACATCATGACATGCACAATGTATTTTCACAAGTGAGAATTGGGGAGGGTAGTATGTATGTCAGATTTTACCCCTACCTTGTGAAGACTAGATAAAGAAATTATTTTCAGAATACCCTCGGCTCAATAAATTTCCTTAATTCGAACTAGTGAATTTCGGGACGGCTACAAAAATCTATCAACACGTTTAATTCATGGATCATTGGAACCCCTATAGATAAGGATAAACAGTCGATCGAGGACCATAGCATATAGTACGACAAAACAATGAAAAATGATAAAAATACACAAGCCCCAACAACAACTACTACTGCGCTTTAGTTCAAACAAGTTGGCGTCAGCTATATGAATTCGATTGACCATTCAACGTGAAGTTTTTAAAGAGATTTTTCCCGCTTCGAAATGCACATGCAAGGCGATTACACATAAATTTCTTAAGTCATTATATAATATTTCTCAATTCTTTCGAAAATACGAAGTACAAGTCAAATTTTATGAATGAACATGCCTTGCTACGGGGGATTAATTGGTGAAGTACTACGCCACCAACTCATATGGTAAAATATTAAAGTAATGTGTCATGAGTGTGTGTATTACTCCCTCCATTCTAGTTTATGTGAAGTTATTTCCTATTTGGTCTGTTAAAAAAAATGATCCCTTTTTAAATTTGGAACCAATTTAGCTTAAATTACCAATTCTACCCTTAATGAGAAGCTTTTATAACCACACAAATACTCTTGACCCCTTTTTGACTTGTTTAAAACCACAATTTCAAAAGTCGTCATTTTTTCTTAAATTCCGTACTCAGTCAGACATGTTCACGAAAATTGAAACAGAGAGAGTCCTATTAATTACTAAAAGCAATTTGGCCACCAACCTAAGTACTAGTACTAGTTTTATTTTTCTTTTTAGGGGAAGCATATTTACTAGTAGTTCACTTATTGACCGTGAATTGATGAAAAAACGCTCTCCTTTGTAACGACCCAACCGGTCGTTTTGAGCTTTTGAGCTTTGATTGCCAGTTCCCGGGCATGACTTGCCCGTGTTATGTATTATGACTAATGTAGATTGTTGGTTTTGATTTTCAGGAAAATTTGGAATGAATTTGAAAGAAACAGTTCAGTTGAAAGCTTCGAATTTGAAAGGTTTGACCAAGAGTTGACTTATTCGTATATGATCTCGGATCGGAGTTTTTATGATTTGATTAGCTTCGTTAGATGATTTGTGACCTAGTAGTGTGATCGAAATTGATTTTGGAGGTCCGGTGTAGAATTAGGCTTGAATTGGCGAAGTTAGTATTTTGGCGAATTCCGGTTGATAGGTGAGATTTTGATCTGAGGGTCGGTATGGAATTCCGAGAGTTGCTATAGCTTCGTTAGGTGATTTTGGATGTGTGTCCAAAATTTCAGGTTATTCGGAGGTGATTTGGTTGGGTTTTTGATCGAATGCGTGTTTCGGAAGTTTTTGAAGAAACTTAGGCTTGAATTCGATGTAATTTGATAATTTTGGTGTTAGTTGAGGTGTTTTGATGATTGGAGCAAGTTTGAATAATGTTTTAAGATGTGTTGATACTTTTGGTTGAGGTCCCGGGGGCCTCGGGGTGATTTCGGATGGCCATCGGGATGAATTTGGACTTGTAGCATTGCTGATAATGGCTGGTATCTGGTATTTCCGCATCTGCGGAAAGGGGGCCGCATATGCGGTTCCGCAGATGCGGTAGGAAAGGCGCAGGTGCGGAAATGGAATCATGGAAGGGCTTCCGCAGAAGCGGATGGAGGCCCGCATATGCTGCACCCGCAGAAGCGGGTAGGGACCGCAGAAGCGGTCCTGGGCGCAATAGAGTATCTCCGCAGAAGCGGAAGAAATGCCGCAGGAGCGGCAACCACATAAGCGGTAAAGATGCCGCAGAAGCGGAAGTGACTGGGCAGAGGTATTTAATTTCTTCTTCGCGAATTTTTGAAAGAGATAGACATTTCACTTCGGACTTGGAGCATTGTGAGCGATTTTGAAGAGGGATTTCAAGGGGTTTTGATCAGGTATGGATTCTTGGACTTAAAACATGATTTTATGGTGTAAATACATGGATTAGAGCTGGAAAATTAAGGAAATCAAGGGTTAAAAATGGAGGTCAGGGCTTGAACTCAAGAGAGTTAAGAATGGGGATTTGAGGGGCCAATTAGACCCCGATTTTGGTAATTTTGATATGTATAGACTCGTGGCGAGATAAGGAATCCGATGATGTTAATTTTCTGATTTTTCGAGAAGTGGGCCCGGGGCTCGGGTTTCGGTAATTTCGGGATTTGTGCCCGTTATTGTTTATTTCCGCTTGGGCTTTGTTCCCTTATCATATTGTGATGTATTCGCTCTGGTTTTGGATAGATTCGACGCGCGTGGAGGCCGATTTGAGGGGCAAAGGCGTCGCGAGCTAGAGATTTCGCCGGTTCGAGGTAAGTGATGATTGTAAATACTGTCCTGAGGGTTTGAAACCCCGGATTACACATCGTTGTGTTGCTTTGAGGTGACATGCAAGCTGGATGGCGAGCGTGGGGTAGAGCACCGCTGGGGATTTTGACCTAGTCCATCCCGAAAGAGTACTTTAATGCGCATTTGATAGTTAACTGTCTGATATTATTGTGTTTTGGGCTGTATGCCATGTTTGGGCCCTTGTGCCGACCTGTTGAGACCCTTAGGGGCATTTTTGCTATTTTTCCTCACTATATGTGTTGATAGCATATCCTCAGTCATGTTTTACCTGCTTATTGTTTAAAAATCTGGCTTTATCACCATATTTCTTAAAAATGTAAAAGACTGTTTGGGTTGAGTTCCCTGTTTTACTAATGGTCCGAGTGATCGTGAGTTGATGACTGAGATAGACCGAGGGTCTAATTGTGAGGTTGATGACTGAGATAGACTGAGAGTCTGATGGTGAGGCTAATGACTGAGAGAGGTCGAGGGCCTGGCAGTATATTTATATGGATCGGGCTGCACGCTGCAGCAGTATATTTATATGGATCGGGCTGCACGCCGCAGCAGTATAATTATATGGATCGGGCTGCACGCCGCAGCAGTATACTTATATGGATCGGGCTGCACGTCGCAGCAATATTGCGCTTAGGCTGTAGGAGCCCCTCCGGAGTCTGCCCCCCCACAGTGAGCGCGGGTACCCATATGGATGGGGCTGCACGCCGCAGCGATGGATCGGGCTGCACGCCGCAGCGATATATGGATCGGGCTGCACGCCGCAGCGGTTATTATATATATATGGATCGGGCTTCACGCCGCAGCGGTTACTATATAGTACCTACTGAGCGTGAGTGCTGAGTGTGAGCACTGATTGGTAAGAGTTGAGTCACGAGTGGCAGAGAGGCTAGCCCGAGGGGCGATAACTATATACATGCAAATGAGTGATGTTTGCTTGAGAGGCCTGTTTATGAACTTGTTGATTTCACTCCCCTTTTTAGTGAGTTTCTATCGAATATGTTGATTTATCGACTGTTTTCACTATTCTTTATACTGAGCCTCTGTCGGAAAGTTGAACAAATGTTTTCAAAACAACCTTTATTTTAACTGGGGTTTATGAGATGTTTAGAAACTAATCACTGATTTGGCATTTGGTTATTTCCACCAAGATTTTCCGGTTATGAAGTGTTTACGAATATTATTTTGCCCGAGAGGCTGTTTTACGAACTATGCTTTGTCCGAGGGGCCGATTATGGCTCTAATCGCTATTATTCTTTTAAATGGTATTGAACCCCTATTGAAACTGCTGGAATGTATTTCAAAATGATTTTTACTAAACGTTGGGTTTTAAAAGGAGAGGTTGAGTCGTATTATGATTTGAAAGCCTGTTGTGTTTATTGAGCCTAACGTGAATGTGGATTCATTGTTTGCTACTGCTCACTCTTTATTTACTCTTATTACTTACTGGGTTGGAGTACTCACATTACTCCCTACACCTCGTGTGCAGATTCAGGTATATCGGAACCCGGTCGCGGGTGTGGATTGGTTCAGGCGCGGAGTCTTCAGAGTTAGCAGGTGGCTGCATGACGTCCGCAGCACCACTCCCTTTCGGACATTGCTATTACTGTATTTAGTACATTATTTTAGACTTGTCGTTGTATTCAGACCAGGATAGATGCTCATGACTAGTGACACCCCGATGTCGGGCTAGTATTTTTGTTTCGCTTTGTTATTTTCAGAAGTTGTTATGAAACATCGTTTAATTAAAGGCTTAAAAAGGATTTTAAATGCTTAAAGGTTGATGTGAGTGTTGTGTCGGCTGGCCTTGTCTTCACGAGAGGCGCCATCACGACCGGGCCGGTTTGGGGCCGTGACAAGTTGGTATCAGAGCCTAGGTTACTAGGTCTCACGAGTCATGAGTATGTTTAGTAGAGTCTCGCAGATTGGTACGGAGACGTCTGTATTTATCCTCGAGAGGCTGCAGAACCTTTAGGAAAACTTCACATTCTTGAATTCTTATCGTGCGTCTTTGATTCAGCTTGAAAAGAAACTTTTGAAATTCCTTCCACGCGTTTGTATGCGCGCATGAGCGCTCAGTATCTGATG